TTGGCGAGATTGCCTCAGATAACTCCATTGCCGGTGGTGAAAGTGTAACCGATACCGAAGGACTGCACGAAATTGAGGAAATGGGCCACGATGCGGTAAACAATGAATTGCGCAACGTATTTCGTTGGAACTATGCCGGCATTGCCCGTGCCAATTACATTATGGAGTACCGCAATAAAATTGATTTTGACGGAAAGGATCAAATTATTGCTCAAACCCAATTTTTACGCGCCTTCTACTATTTTCAGTTGGTAAAATACTTTGGTGACGTACCGCTTATTATTGACCGCAGGCTGGGCGCAGAAGAAGTTACCACGGTTGACCGCACGCCACGCGCAGAAGTGTATGCCCAAATTGAAGCCGACCTCCAGGCGGCTGCCGCGGTACTTCCCTGGAACAACCCCGTGAAAGGCCGCGTAGAAAAAGGCGCTGCCCTGGCACTGCTCGGCAAGGTACACCTCTACCAAAAAGAATATCAACTGGCGGCCAACGCCCTCGATCGCGTGATAAACGAAGGCGGCTTTAGCCTCCTCCCCGATTATCAAAACCTTTGGTACGAAGCTTTTGAAGACAATTCTGAAACCGTTTTTGATATTGAATACTCCAACCTGGAGGGCGGTGGCTACGGCTGTATAATTTGCCTGGAGGGAAATGCTGCTCCCGGTTTTCACGGCATACGCCAGTACGAAGGTCCCATTTATGGGGATGGCAACAGCTACAACCTGCCTACAGCCGACCTGTACAACTTTTTTGACAACAACGACCCGCGCAAAGACATCACCGTTTTAGACATTGAAGCCTTTAAAGCGGCTCAAACCGACCCCTCAAGTGTTTCTTATGCCACCGGTGCGGGCGGGCATACCGGATACTACAACAACAAATACATCAAGCGCAAAAGTGAACTGGGCCTGCCCGATGATGACCTGACCAGTCCTTTGAACTACAAAGTTATTCGCTATGCCGATGTGCTGCTGATGGCCGCTGAGGCCCACGCGCAGTTAGGCGCTGAACAGCAAGCCCGCGACTTGGTAAACCTGGTACGCAACCGGGTGGGGATGGGCGACATTATGAGCAGCGGCACGCAGCTTTTAGATGATATTTATCGGGAAAGAAGGCTAGAGCTTTCTGGCGAAGGCCACCGCTTTTTCGACTTGGTTAGAACGGGCCGCGCGGCTGCGGAAATAGACAATTTTGTTGCGGGAAAACACGAGCTGTTTCCCATTCCTCAGGTAGAAATAGACTTGGCTGGCGGACGTTGGCAACAGAATAGTGGTTATTAATATTTACAATTAAATCTAGTTTTAGTATGAAAGTTTCATCCATTTTTAAACACTCCTGGCTGTTGGGGTTGAGTGCCCTGGTAGCTTTAAGCTCCTGCAAGAAAGACGAGGAGCCAACCATTGGCAACGCGCCCACGCAGGCCGATGCAGCATTTACCTTTCAGGCCACCGCTGCCAGTGACAATATCATTGAGTTTACGGCCAACAACCCGAGCCTTGATGCCTCCTGGGATTTTGGCAATGGCTCAACCGCCAAAGGAAGCAAAGTTCAGGCGGCCTATCCCTTCGCGGGAACGTATACCGTTACGCTTACCGTGCAAAATTCAGGCGGCTCAGCCAGCTCTTCGCAAGACGTGACTATAGCTAATGATGACCCCAGCCTCATAGACAACCCACTGTTCGGATTGCTGACGGGAGGCTCGGAGAAAACCTGGGCGATTGACTCGGTAGGCGATGCCCACTTTGGCGTAGGCCCTGATCCCGTGGGTGCCGCGGGCAACTACCCCGAGTGGTATGCCGCCAAATCATTGGAAAAATCAGGTTCGGGCATGTATGACGACCGCTACACTTTTAAACTGAGCGGCTTTGGTTTTGACATGGTTACCAATGGTGACGTGTACGTAAACACCGAACATGCTGGTATCGCTCCTTTTGACGACACCACCGCCAGCAATGTAGGCGACTACACCGCCAGCTTCCCCGACCAATTGGGAGAAACCTGGACCTTAAACGAAGGAACCGATACTACCCTTACCATTAG